AAAAGTCAACTAAGATTTATGTCCTGAAACCTCCTACTCATAATTTCTAAATTACACGACACCACCAACAGACCCAGGAGTCATCACGTGCATTGGAGGGGGAATTAAATTTCAGTATAGCTCCTGTGTGTGTTCTTCAGTTCAACTTTCTGTTCCAAAGCCCAACCCATGTATAAAGAGGCCCTGCCCACTGATAAGGGGCTTATTTATATTCCCACAGCCAGATTCTCCCACTGCAATCTAGACTGCATCTTATGTAAGCATATGACTCACGTGTACTGGTACCTTTCCTGAAACTTGGGGTGAGAGCCAGCTTTCAGTTATCTGTGATATGAATGCCAGAGATGGCTAGAAGTGAAATCCAATGGGTATTCCTTCCTGGAATCAACTTAATTTTTCTATAGATTTTAATGAACATACAAAAGTCCAAAGAGAAAAAAGCAGAAAGCCTGGTTAATCCAAAAAGCTGTATAATCAACAACTGAACACTTGAGAATTTGATGTTGTCCATCTCTTTCCCAGACAAGATTCTAGATGAATATTTTCTATTAGCAGCCACCACCACTTCCTTAATCCAGTGCCATCAGGCCTACCTCCCACCACTACTAGAAACACATTTTCAACCTTCATGACACTGAGAAGTCAAAGCCAGAAGAGGCATTTTCCGTTTTCCGTGTGTGTGTGTGTGTGTGTGTGTGTGTGTTTCCCTTCTAGATTTCTTTTGTACTGGACAGTGTTGACTATTGGTGTACATCATAGATATTTTTTTCCTCCTGGGTTGCCATGTTTTCCTAGTGCCTTCCTGGTTATAACTATCAATAAGTCCTGTTAATCTACAGCATATATAAGAAACACCTCAAATTCAACCCAATTCATTACCTCCACTACTGCCAGCTTTGTCTTAGCCTTGTTGTAACTGAGGTGAGTGATTTAAATGCCTCCCATCTTGTTTTCCAGGTTTCTGTCTTGTCCCACTTCAGTCTATTTTCCATATAATAGATAGCCTGGTCTTTTAGAAGTACAAATTCTTTATTATCCTATCTCTAAACCTTGGATTATTTGTGATTGCATTTTTAATAATTAAAAGCAAAGCCCTACATGCTCTATACTTTCTACTCTTGACGGCCCCTCTGACTTCTCTTGTCACAGTCCTTAGAGCACGCACTGGCCCACACTGATCCTAAAATCTTTGGCACATTAGAGCCATTATTACTCCAGTCCAAGAATATTTTGGTGCCACACATTGGCCAAATTTGTCTCATTTCTCTATTTATCTTAATTTATCACCTCCATAGGACTACTTCCCTGACCACCCTAGCTAAAGCTACCCTGAAATCATAGTGTGATATTCTACTATCTTATTTTATCACCACCAATGAAACCTTAGGCAAATTACTTTGCTTCCATCTCCTCATCTGAAAAAAAAACACATTTTATGAAAATAGTTACACATGTCATAGAATTTTTGCAAGGATTTATCAAGTTATGATCAAAAAGCTGAACAATGAAGCTCTATATAATCAAACTCATGTGTTTGTTACTATTATTGTATAATAATAATAATAAATACTATTGTATTTAAATAAATAATTATAATTAATATAATTTATTTAATATAATTAAATAAATAATAAATACTATTGTATTTATTTTCTTTTTTCTTACTAGAATATAAATTTCAGGTTTTGTCTATTTTGCCTATCACTTATTCTCAAGATGGAGTAGAGTAAGGTCCTCAATAAGTATTTGAATGCTTGGATGAAATATTTAACCACTTACTTTGTCTTGAAAGACTTCTTTTCTTTTACCAGTTCTTTAAACAAAAACATTTCCTCAGACTCATTTTTTTTGTTTGTTTGTTTTTGTCTGATTTGGTTTAGTTTCTTTCTCTTTTTTGCTTTTTGCATTTTTCCCTATACTCTCATTCCTTAAAAGTGTTTAACTTGAAGTGTTTTACTGGTTTCATCCATAGTCTCTGTGATGAGGGTTCCCACCATTATAGCTTTAGTCACAACCAATACCCAAACTCTTCACTGGAAAGACACCACTAAGAAGGTGACTTGGGAGTCAGGACATCTAGGCTCTTCTATGAGTCCTGTAATTTTGCAAATCACAACCTTTCTGGAGACTATATTCTCTTTTTCATGTTTTGATTGTTTTGATGCCAAGGATCAAACCCAGGGCTTTGCACATGCTAAACATGCACTCAACCACTGAGATATACCCCCAGCCCTGTTTTCATGTAGGTAATAATTATTAATCGCTGTATTCCATCTCATGGAAATATGCATATAAACAAAGAGTTAATAGATGAGTGTTTTCTGAATTATAAAACTGTATGTTATTTTGAGGTAATACCAAATATAGTAGATATGCTATTTATATTATGCCCAGCTGTTATCTTAGATTCAACATGTTTAAACTAGAGTAATTTTCTTCTTTTCTGAACTGAATTATTTCCAACTTTGCTTTATTCCCATCTCTAAACAATGTATATATTCAATTATACCACTGTGATGTGTCAAACTTGGCCTCCTACTCCCTGTTCTCTCAAACAAAATTCCAATCTTAGCCTTCCTCAATATACATCTTGACTATTTACAGCATTCCATTGACTGGCTTCTCTGTCTCCAACCTTTTTCTCTCAGTCTTCTTGAATAATCTCTGCAATCTTCCCAAAACACTAACTGTAGTAGATTCCTAGTATTGCTACAACAAATCTCCATTTATTCACTAACTTAAAACAACAGAACTTACTACCTTATAGATCAAAAGTTCAACTCATCTTCATTGGACTAAAATCACAGTGTTGGTACTTCATAAAAATTCTTTTCTGGAGTCCATAAAGGAGAATTTTTGGCCTCACCTCTTTTGCCTTCCATAGATTACCAGTATTTCTTGGTTTGTGGCTCCTTTCCTTCATCAGAAGGTGGGTCAAGTGCTTCTCATGTCATATCTGACTCTAGCTATGAATGACCCCCAATTTTAAAGCACTCCTATGGTTAGAGTGGGCCTATATGCCTACCTGGCTAACCTAGGAACCTCCAATCTCTAGGTCATAACCTCGCTCTCATCTGTAACATCCCTTTGCTATGTGAGGTAAATACTCACAGGTTTCAGGGATTCCAACAAGATCTTTTTAGGGGAGGGATGTAGGAGTTCTGCCTATCACACCAATTTATAGTGTTATGTCTCTGATCATGAGTTTCAAATGATTCCCTATGACCTATTAATATCAAGCTTATCTCCTCAGCATGACTTTGAAAGTCCTTCAAGTGAAATCCTTAACTATTCTCAAACTTATATCCTCTGCTAGTATAAGGATGGTCTGCTTTGTTGCTATATGGTCTGCTGATATTAATTCTAAGATTTTGTTAGCATACTTGCTAAGTATTTGAAATGTCCTACTATCTCTTCTTTGCTTATCAAAGTACTGTTAACTTTACAAATTCCAGTTTAAGTATTGCCTTCCAATAAAACCTTCTCTGTTGATATCACTTGACTCTAAGTTATTTGGCCTGGTACTCTCTGGTATATAGGGTGGACCTCTGTCATTCATCTGTTCAGAAATCATTCATTCTTCTCTGGTAATACACAGTGCTTTTCCTTTGGAGTACACTGTTGCTGTTGTTGTTATTTTCCATTAGATAAAAGTTGGTGCTTTTCTCAACTAAAATGCCCTCCCTTAGCCAAGGGGTAAGTCCACATTCAGAGCTAGGCAATGATATGTTGCTATCCTAGAGCATAAGCACCCCAAAAATAAAAATGGTTGGAGTTCACCATTTTTAAAAGCAGTAAAGCAGTTCATTAGAATGGCCCTGTTCTTTGGCTTTTACTTTAATTATATGGAATCTCATATTTGTCCTACAAAGTTCTTCTTGATTAAGGGTTAGAATATCAAGATTTTCAAAAGACAAAATTACAAGTACTGAATTCAAATTGACCAATTCATGACTATATTTCTCCTCAAATGGTCACAAAACAAAACATAAAACATAAATCCAGAACACTGCGGTATTACAGGTCCATGGTTAAGGATGAAGTATATTGAAGAAGATCTAGCAAGAGACTCAGAAGTGAGTATAAAACCAGGTGAGTGTAATATCCTCTAAGCCAAAAGAAAAAAGTTTCTACTTCCTTTCGTTTGCTCTCCAAGTTCTCAGACTTTGCACCCAATCAGTCTGTTGGTTCTGTAAGAGCCCATTAATTCTAATTATTTAGAATTCCTGTTTTTCCCAAGGAAATTTTAAGCTAAATTTGAGACTAACTCCTCACAATGTTTTGCAGCCCCTAACCTGGTCAGAATTTCAGGGGAATTGGGGGTCCTAAGACTTCATTTCTCCTAACAGCTCATTGCTATTAGTTACTTAACTTCTCTGTGGAATGATCATAGTTCTGGCTCCCACCTCTCCCTGCAGACTAATGAAGAACCCAAGGAGCTAAGAAATGGATAAAGTACTTTCTGGGCAGGGATAGGGATGTAGCTCAGTGGTAGAGTATACTCTTAGGATGCACAAGGCTCTGAGTTCCATGCTAAGCAACACACACACACACATACACACACACACACACACTCACACTCACACACACACAGCTCTACAGGTTATTGAAGCAGTATAGCAAGGAAGCTAACACTATCGTGATGCCTCCATGCATCACAGGGAACATGTTTTCTTCTCTGAAAGCGTACTCCAAGTTTCTTAGCATAAGCTGAGGGAATCATGTGGCCTAATTCTAGCTAATATGTACCTTAAAAAGCTACCTCTTAGTAGAATATTATTCTTTTCAAAAGTACTCTTTTAATATATTATTTAAAATATTCTTGTAAAATATATGATCACTTAGAATTTTATAATTAATGTGTCTCACTTTTTTTGCAAATTCAGAGCATTATGTCTTTATATGAACACACATTATAATTCTGTCACTACTTTTAAGCCCCTTAATAAATAGTGGGGAAAAATAGCAAAAGAAAAATAAAATAGAAGAAAGAGACCATATTGAAAGTGCAGATGTTTTATTGATGGTGCTTAATGCACATTTATTTCTCAATTGTGTTTTTTTGCCAGTTCCCAAAACAAATAAATAAAAATTAACAATATCTTGTAAATTATCTATATTCTCCTTCAATGTCTTAAGGTACACAATTATCAAAGCTGATACTGAACACAAACAAATTGATACAATTCAGTATTCTGATAAAATTCATAGTCAACAAATAAGTTACTTTAAAATATATATAGTACAAGTTTATGTTCCATAGCATCTTTAATAGAAACTGTATACCAAAATGGCTCTTCAAACTTAAAAAGTGCAATTACAGAGTGCAAAAAAGGCAAAAAGAAAAATACAGTATATTAGATTTAACATCATTATGTTAAAATAGCAGATATATTTTAGACATCATTATTATGTTAAAACTTTAAAAGTTATTCCAGAAACACTGTTTATGCTCCAATTTCTCCCAAAAGAATAGAAAAAGTCAGAAAATGTTTGCCAGCAAATCAAGCATTTTGTTTTCAAAATTCTACAAAATAAAACTGTAGCAAAAATTACCAACATGAGTCAGAGAGATTTTAAATCTACTATTAAATATAAATTAAACACATGTATTTGCTGAATAAAAATTGATTTGATTCTCAGTCACAGTTAAATTTAGCTAGCTTTCCATTCGAGGACTCAAAAATAAAAATTTGAGTTTGGACAATGTCATACCAGTATATAATTTTTCCCATTGCTTTGACTTTTGACAGAGGGATGAGGGCAAAACAATGTATAGGAGAACAGTAAAATTGTATTGGATTATAGATGTTCAAATAGTACAATAATCTCAATTTTAAGGTTAAACTTTAGTACCAATCACAGAACTTAACATCCTGGTTATAGAATATGTCTTCTGGGTTTTTGAGTGGTCTTGGTGGGAGATTATAAATTATGCATTTTTGCTTCAGGGATTGCTTAGGTTCTCAGTACATATAAGTAATATGTATACATATACAGCGTAAGCGGAGGGAATCATGTGACTCATTTTATACATATTTTATACATATATACATATACACATATATATAAAATATATATATATTTATATTATATATCCACATATATGTGTGTGTGTGTGTGTGTGTGTAGCTTCTTTGAGACATAGAGAAATCTGTAAAATGAGGATGATAACTAAAAGTGAGCTAAATACTTTTCATTTCCTGTAGGAAACATGAACTGAGAGCAAAAGTCTTTCTTTTATGTCTATTCAGCATTATCCTCACTATAGCAACCACTTTTTACTAATTTTCATCCACAAAATGCAATCTGATTTATATATTTTCATTATTTAATATGTATTTGTAAATAAAAATTTAACTCTTTTAGGGGTTAGTTCGTTAGTTTTTTGCAATACTGGGGATCAAACTCAGGGCCTCGCACATACTAGGCAAGTGCTGTGTCACTGAGTTACACACCCAATCCTATGGGGCTGGTTTTTAAGCATTTTAGTAAAGATAAAAATATCCCAAACTAGCCAGGCATGGTGGCACATGCCTGTAATTCCAGCAGCTCAGGGGCGCGGGCTGAGGCAGGAGGATTGCGAGTTCAAAGTCAGCCTCAGCAAAAGCAAGGCGCTAAGCAACTCAGTGAGAGTCTGTCTCTAAATAAAATACAAAATAGGGCTGGGATGTGGCTCAGTGGTCGAGTGCCCCTGAGTTCACTCCCCAGTACCAAAAAAAAAAAAATCCAAAACTACTTGCACCATGTTATATAATATGCATTGAGACGCTGAAGACAGACTAATATATCAATGCTGAGACGCTGTCAATGAAACTTTTGTTAATGAAATAGATTGTAGTTGAGTTCTTAGTCGATAAGTTTTCTTTAAAACAGACAAGATCACTGAAAATAGGCAGACTTGCATTACATTCAGTAGGTGTCAATTTAAAATGTGCCCTTATGTAATAATACATTTGATTTCAGCTATAGTAAACATGAAATAAATATACTTTAAAGTCTCTCTGATTTCTGTTTTCCTTTTATCTTGCTTTTAAGTTTCACACATTAGTTATAGAGCAACAAATGACTATGATTCAATAGTCAATAGAGCTCATGTGTACTTAAGTGTTTGTATACAAATATGTTTATGTATAGATTTTCGTTTCTTTTGTTTGCTTGTTTCCCTGCCAGGCCAGGACTATACATGAGAGCCATGTGAACACATCAGGGTATATAATACATGGCTCCATCTGGAGGCAATTCCTGGCATCTGGTACTCCAGAGGTGACTTGTCTGGTGATATCTTTGTTGCCCTAGTACATGCCAGGAAAAAATGTGGAGGAAGAAGATCCTCCCTGACCTGGTATGTGATCCAGAGATGAGAACGAAAAATTTAGCATTCAGAGAGGTAGACTCCCATGAAAGCCAAAGGTGGTGACAGCCCTGACTTCTATGCAATTGCTCAGAATACCCTGAGCTCACTGAGACCTCAGAGTGCAGAAGAAATCTCAGTTTCTTCCAGAAAATAAATAAATAACAGGGGATAAAGTGTGTAAGGGGTACCTTCATCTCAGCTTCCATAAGAAGGTGTAGTTAAGTCCCTACATTTTAAAAGCTTTCCAATAGAGTTTTTCATTTGGAAAAATACACTATAGTTTATTTTCTCTTATTATTTTCCACTGCCTATATGAAGATATTTTTAAATATGTAACTTTAAGTTTTAGAAGAAGCTACTTAAACTGTAAGTGAAACCATCTTGAATAGAAATACCTGTATGTCCATTTTTAGATAACATAGAACTACTGTTCTATTCTATTTTAAAATAATAATTAGCTTATCACATTTTGGACTCTGATTTACTTTACAATTCTTCAATAAATCTCTTGTGAAAATTAATACCCTAAAAAGAAGCACAAATTTGGCTTCAAGAATGTATTTTTTTCTAATTGTCTCATGAGAAACAATTATAAACACATAACATAAATGATGTGTTGTACAAAAATAGAATAGTGTGAAGCTATGGAATACCCACTATTGACATGAAAGATGACAAACTCTTCCCTTCACTTTACTTGAAGAGAATCTGGCAGGTGGCTGACAGTTTTCTGTAGTTGTAGGTTGGCACAGGGGATGGTCCATTGACCCTCCAAGCAAGTGAGTATCAAGCTAGCCAATATAGGAATGTAGAGGCCATTCTTCCTGAACTCAGTTTATTTCAAATATGCTAAACTGTTTAGCATATGACCTGTATTTGTTTTCCCAAATCTCAATTGTATTACATGAAACAGTGGCACCAACCAATGCATCAAACCATAACATAGTCAAGTCAATTATCACTGATTTGAGCAGTAGAAAAGAATCTACTTATAAGATTGATTTGACCATATATTTAGGTTTACAGAAATAAGTCACAAGCTGACACTTCCTGAACAATGAATTAGGCATTGCTCATTCCTAGGCCCTGTGCAGCAGGCATATAAGCTTTGAAGCTTTCAATAAAGCATTTAGCTCAGGAAATTATTTCTTACAAAAATATCACTTTTCTTTGGTATTAAATATTTTTACACATAATATATTAGTAAATAGTTTGTCAAAAATAAGACAAAAATAAAAACATTTTTGAGTATATTAAAAATACACAGTTGTTGACCTAACACACAACCCAACATAAATATTATTAATAAAATAGGAATATTAACATTGACTAGGAATGCAGTGCATCCCTGTGCTGTTCAGACTTGAGACAACGCTGGGTCCCCTGAGGTCACTCTCTCATATTCCTTCTTTGAGTTTTTGCTTTTGTGGTTTTTGTACCTGGAAATATTAAGAAATGAAACTATTAGCATTATACTCAATAGTTACAAGAAAAAAGCAAGGTAACAAAAGAAAAAAAAATATGGACTCCAAAGGCATGTTAGCATAGTGTATTCAAAATGGTGGAAGTGCCTGGGTTTAGGTTGGACAAGGTGACAAAAGGAGGAAGGAAGGGAGTAGTGTTCTTTAGTCAAAAGAAATTTGGAAGGAAATAGTGGAAGGACTTCTCAAAGGTCTTAACATGATCATGAATATTGTGACATTTACTGAAGAGAATCCATTTCTCTCTCCCCCCTTCCATTCTCTTCCCTTCTCTTTCTTTTTTCCTTCTCTCTCTTAATAGCTCTTCATTCTGTGATGATAACTAATTAGGAAGGCATTATTATTTGATGGATTCTTTTAATCAAATATGGACAAAATAAATTTAACCTTATAAAAAATAGCACACTTTTAAACTTCACCACCGAACGATTTGTAAATTGAAACTAAAAAATTTACTGAGCACTTTGTACCAGTTTCAAAACAAGAAGGATTTTAAAAGGACACATTTTCAAGGCAACTGTTATTAACTAATTCACACCAGTCCCACAGCCTGGTCCTAACCTACAAAACCTGTCAGTCTACAGTTCTAGTCTTTCTCAGTTATCAACTTGTGACAATATTGTACATAAGAATGGGATATGACTGGTTTAGGGAAATGACCTGAACCAATTCGATCAGTTAGATTTTATATTTTTTTCCTAGAAACTCATTTCTACAAGTCTGCCTTTCATTTTAAGATGCCAAGACTCTGGGATTATTAATTTACAAGCTGTGTTTTATGAAATAAAATTTTGACCTAATAAAGTAAATACAAGAATCTAAGTATAATAGCAGCATCCTGCCTCATGGTTTACTGCCACATGCATAGGACTATCATACTCAGTACTAAAAACAGCCTGGTTATTATAGGATAAGAATTTCCATCTGTATTTTATAGAGGAAGGAACTGATATTCCCTGTTTGACTTTCAGACGATCACTTAAGTAATAAGTAACAGAACCCATAATGAAGTGAAATCCTGACGTTCTGTAGCTAGAACATCTCTGTATATGTCATCAATGCAGACTTATTCCTCTAATACTATGTTCACATTTTTACTTGGTTTGTAAGTCTGCATTATGTAATTTATGAAAGTAGAATATAAAGCAAGCACTGGCTTACCATCTGCAGAAGTAGTATATGGAACCGGCGACTATGACAAGAAACAAAATAATAAGAATCACAGTCAAGGCCACATATTCTTTGCTCAAGGGTTGATGCACAGTTAAAAAGAAGTGCTCACATCGGACACCAGTGTAACCCACTTCACATCTGAAGAAAAATACAAGACAAAAATCAATTATTTCAGTATATCATGGTTATGAATTAGTTTCATAAGAATTAGTATTACAGTGTAATGTAAGAAATCCGCAAGATTTGCTAAAAGTTATAAACATAAATTCAAAGATTGAATATAGAGTTGGGACAACATTAATAAAATGACTCCACAGAGCTCTCAGGTTAAATTGTGACATTAAAACAACAGTCTGATTTAGCTGCCAAGGGGGCTGGTTACCTAGAAATGGTGTTTTGTAAGCTTTGTAGGGTTGAGATGCTTTTTGTCTAAACCGGTGGAATCAATTCTGAAAACAATGGCTGACATAGAAGTCCAATGAAAAGATTAAAAGTGGACTTCCTATCATGGCAAGGAATTGAAGGAGGAATTGAAATGTCCACTGTACATCCCTGGATTATGTGTACAATTTGACAACTACTATTTGTTCTCTAGTTTCAAAAAAGTTAATACAATTTCTAATACTGTATATCAATTATATTTTCACTGTCCGTAGAAATATAGGATAACTTCAAAATTTAAAACAAAAGGAGAGAAACATAATCTCAAACACTGTCTTTGTTTACTTTTGGCATATTACCTGCAGTAATTTTCACTCATGTCCACCAGGTAGATGCACTGTCCATGCAAGCAGTAGCCATTCATGTCAGTGCCACACTTTGTTATGGACACCTGAGCCACACGTGGATTATCTTCCATCTGAACTGTAAAGGAAATGGAAAGTTGAAAGCATTCTGTTGCCCTCTTGGACTCAGGGCATTAATCATTCTTTCACAACAGTAATCACTAAGCAACTTCACAAAACAGGTCAGATGCCAATCAGTCCAGGAGAATTTTCAGGAGGAGAAAACTACTCCACTCTAGGTATCACACTCCCTAGAACAATAAAGAAACCCCTGAGTCCAAAGGAATATATCCAATGGACTAAACAAAATGAAATAGAACTGGAAGATTTAATACTCAAAAAACAGACTTTATAGATAGAAAAGGTTGTGGATAAATGAATAAAAAATGTGGCATTTATACACAATGGAATATTACTCAGCAATAAAAAAATAAGATCCTGGCATTTGCAGGGAAATGGATGGCATTAGAGAGGATTATGCTAAGTGAAGTTAGCCAATCCCAAAAAAACAAATGCCGAATGTGTTCTCTGATATAAGGGAGGTGACTCAAAATGGGGTTGGGAGGGAGAGCAAGGGAGGAAGATTACCTCTAGATAGGGAATAGGGGTGGGAGGGAAAGGGAGGGAGAAGGGGAATAGCATGGATGGTGAAAGGAGACCCTCATCATTATACAAGATACATGTATGAAGATGTGAATTCGGTGTCAATATACTTTATATACAATCAGAAATATGATAAATTATGGTATAATGGTGTATTAAGAATTGTAATGCAAAAATAAGTAAATAAAATAAAAAATAACAAAAAAAGAAAAGGTAGTTACATACACACACACACACACACACACACACAACACACCATTACCCTCCACAGTAGGTATAAATAAAACACCTCATTTTTTCAAGTCTCAAAGTGATTCTGAAATTCATTACTCTCAAAAGCAATTCCAAGCTAAAACCTTTAATTAACTCAAGAGAGCTTAATTCTATCACAGGTTTTTAAGTCATAAGCTTTGTTTTGGTGTGTGTTCCCAAATTGCTGAGGTTATCATCAAAGAAATCAAAGTCTCCTGACACTTCTCACATTGAGACCTGAAACAAACTAGATAAATTCTGAGTTAGAAATTCCTATTAGGCACATAGAAAAATAAAAATAGGAATCTAGGCCAGGGGCAGTGGTGTACGCCTATAATCCCAGCAGCTGGGGAGGCTGAGGCAGGAGGATCACAAGTTCAAAGCCAGTCTCAGCAACAGGGAGGTGTAAGCAACCCGGTGAGACCCTGTCTCTAAATAAAATGCAAAATGGGGCTAGGGATATGGCTCAGTGGTTGAGTGCCCCTGAGTTCAATCCCTGGTCCTGCTCACCACCAAAAAAAAAAAAAAAAAAAAAAAAGAAGAAGGAGAAAAAGAATCTTGTTGGAAAGAATGTTGCAACATTTATTTACAAATAAATTCCCATTAGAATGTTTTTGTTACTAAAATGTGAGAGAGATGTTTATGAAATTATCATTTTTTAAAATCTTGACAATAATACTTTTGTACATATAACCAAAAAAGGGAGAGAGGTGGTAGAGGAAGGCCCACCAAACTTCCAAAGAACATGATAGTGAAGGAACAAGAAAGAAGGCAATATTTTTGTGGAAAATATCTTGTTTTCTCAAACTAACCCTTGACTCAGGAGCTCAGACTGAATACAGAACTGACCTTCACTGAACCACAGAGACTGCTGTCTCTGATGGGAAAAGACTGGGCATTACTTAAGACTATTGCTTAGTAAAATGTTTGACACACATTAAGTAAGAAAGGACATCATTTGTTCCTCTTAACAAATAGACATGTGTATGCATGCACAATTTTTAAACAACTGTTTATAAAATGAACTTTCTTCTATTTCCTGTTTTCTGGGATCTAGTCTTTCAGTGTGTCTTTTAATGATAATTCTGTAGAAAATGGGATTTTCCTTATTTCCTGAATTTTTAAGAACAAATCTTTATATATAAATAGATGATGTCTGATCCCTCTCCCACTACTCCTTTATGTATTTTTCTAGAACTCTAATTAATTAGTGGATCAAAAATTAATACGGCAATACTCTCCCCTTTTTGTTTGTCACATATTTATATTTACATTTTTGTTGAAAACTGTGAAATCTCTTGATGTAGAATTTATGAAGCTGGGCTTACCCAAAGCTGTGCAGTTGTCATCTGATTCCCCTGGGATACATGATGGAATCACAGTCGTGCTGGGAACCGTTTGTAGAAGTTGGAAACCTATTAATGGAGGAAAATCAAAAACATAGTTAATGTTTCAAGGCAAGAATCCTTGGTCAGATTTGGAAATAAATGCAGCATTTACAGAGTAGTTTTGATTGTTTTAAAATTTTTATCCATCAAAAGCATAAAAAAGTAGTTCATGAGAATAAATGACCCTTCAGCTTTTCTCTCCCAGGGTCCAAGCAGTACATTCAGAGTTACAAATTTGACCTGCTGTAAACATTTCACAGTAACATTTTCAAAGACCTGATTGTGAACTTTGAGTTTTCCTAAGCTGAACAGTTAGAGAATTTCCACTGTTTTACTCCACTGTGTGTTTACAATAACGCTGTGATGTAGACTCCACCACAAAAGACTTCAAATAAAAAACAGGCTCTAGGGCTGGGGTTGTGGCTCAGTGGTAGAGTGCTCACCTAGCGCGTGTGAGGCCCTGGGTTCGATCCTCACTACCACGTAAAAATAAATAAGTAAAGTAAAGGTAATGTGTCAAACTACAACTAAAAAATAAATTAGAAAAAGAAAAAGTATCCATTTATGGTAACAACAGAAAAAAAAACTAGCATATATTTATTGTTTACATAAGTATCTGTTACTTATTACATTGTATTATACATGAAAATAGACTGTAATTAATAAAATATAATCTAGGTAAAATCAGAATATAGCTTCCCACCATATTCATAGGAAAGTGGTTCCAGAAAGTACCAAAATCTGCAGATGCTTAAATCCCATACATAAAATGGCATAGAATTTGTATATAACCTATGAACTTCTTCCCATATGCTTTAAATTATCTCTAGATTATCTATAACATCAAATACAATGTGGATGCTGTGTAAATGTCTGTTATACTGCATTGTTTAGGGAATGTACAGAAAAGGTCCATACGTGTTCAGCACAGATAAACTTTTTAAATACTTTTGAACTTGTGGATACAGATAAGCTATGTAGCTTATTTAATTCAGGAAAGAGCTGGAATGTAGAACCACACCAATCCCTAGCACCAAATTTCTGCCAGCTCAGACAGGGTCTGAACCAGCTCTTTCATTATGTGCTTCCAGTGAAAAGGTAAACTTTGGAAAATAGGCATCAGAATGACTCCAGTGAATTCTGAACTGCATAGAAATCATGATAAGAAGAAACCTTTTAATTTTACATGTTTATTTAAGAGCATTTAGCCTCCTCCGTTTAAGTTTCAGGTATTTGCACTTCAACTCCTCGTTCCTGTCTAGATGAGTAATTGTTAGATAATAAATAATAATGGTGGGGGTAGTAGCAATAGTTAACAACAGTTAAGATTTCATGAAAATGTGCTGTATGCCAGGCATATTTCTATTCCCCTTATCCATATTATCTTATTTAATTCTCTCAGTGACTCTTTTAGGAAGACACTATGATTAGCTACATCAGACATATAAGAAAACTGAGCATAAAGAGTTTAAGGAAACACAATGCTAAATGAGCCAGGAGAATGTAGAAATGGCAATGAAACCCAATGAACATCACACGTATCAAACTAGGGTACCTGTAATTGAAGCAGAGTATATACCCCAAAGGGAGGTAACAAAGTATGGTGGAAAAGCAATCATGTGAGCAAACTTGAGCGACAGAACTTTTGATGCATTAATTAACTTCTCCAAGTCTCCATTTTCTCTACTTTACAGAGTTTTGGGGAGATTGAAATGAAATGATATTCTTCTAAAATGTCTTACATACCAGTGATTTCCCATAAATGTTCTTTTGTACTCAACTTCTAGCCTGCAGTTTTAGCAGTATATGTGGGTAGTGCCCTCTACTGGTTTATAACAAGATTATAAATCTGTTTATTATTTTGGTCTTTTAAGGATGAATTAAACCATGTAAAACGGGAATTTTATTTTACTTTTTCTTAATCAGAGGAGGCTTGTATTTATTAAGAATGCGGCAAATTCTTTGGGTTCTACAAACCAAGTTACATATCAGCATCAGTATCATAGTTTATATGTTCATGTTTCAAACTTAACATAACAATCCTGGGAAGCTGTTATTAGCCTCAGACAGCCTCAGTGCATACAAATGAAATGTCTTATGCAAGACCACTTATCTAGTGACCACAGAAGGTAAGAGTAAAGAATCTGGCAGCAAGTTGCATACTCTTTTGATAATTTGAAAATACTGTTTTCTTGACAGCTTTAGAACTCTCTCTTCCCCACTCCCTGTTTCTCCTACAATATAACTGTTGCTTCAATTGTTCTCATACATTTAAAAAATCATCTTTCTTAAATAACAAAAATAGTGGCTAAGTCTGGATTTCATTGTCAGTTAAACTGAGATTAAAAAATTCTTTTTAACAGAAGATGAATTAGATTCTCTTCTGTGTTAATTTTGTGATACTTCTCACTATAATTTTGACATAAATGTTACTGAAGAATTAAACCCTGTCTTACCATCTTCGGTACAAACTGAACTTCTCTTTGCAAAGATTCTTATAACTAATTCTCTCCTAGGAAGGTGCCAGCCAGGTAAAAGTACACATTTCAAGCCAGGTTTTCTATCCTTTACAGAAACCAAGAGTGGCTTTGCGTGCTTGGAATTGCTTACAATTGCAACTTGGCACTGCTAGAGAATGCAGCTAATTGTATTGAGGTTCTGGAGGTTTTTGTTTGTTTGTTTGTTTAGGTTTTTGGTAGTTGTCAGTTTTTCCACTGTTGGAAACTTTGTTCTAGTTGTTTAGGCCACTGGTGAAATATTTGTCTTTGTCAATTAAAGATTGTTCAGGCCAGGGTGTGCCTCCGTGAAAACTGGGCTTCCTCTACCTGTGACGCTTCCTTGGACACAGTCCATTGCTCAGGACAGTTTCTGTGAGACTTGCTGCATTAATCCAACAACAGGATATTTTAACAGAGGAAATTGTAAATAATTGTAAATTCTCCTCTCAAATTAAAAGTGTGTAAGTGTAGTTCTATCATAGATGTATGTCGTCAATGAAATAACAAAGTTGTTTCTAAATTGATTGACCAAATGTACAGCTCTATTGCTTTAAAACAGTGGTTCTCGAGTGTAAAAATCACTATTCGTTATTTTATAGTCATACAGGAAAGAACTGAGTGCTAAGTTATATCCATCCATTTTCTTAATATTCACTTTTTTCATGATTTTAGTGTTCCTTGCACACAACAATCACTCTATGATTCAATTATAAATATTATATTTGAGCTTTTGATCCATTTCAATACTCCCTGATAAGAAAATAATTCACTGTGATACTAAAGATTTTGGATAGTGTCTGTGTCAAAATCAAGATGTGACCAAATTTACACTGGCAACTAAGAGACAGAGAAGTCTGCAAAGTGATATTGGGAGATGATCTACAAACTTTCAGTGTCAGCTAGAATTTCTACTTCGATACAAATAAAAAGTTCTTTAGAGGGTATTATTTCTGTCAAATTTCTAAGTGGGTTTTAGGAATATGAAGCTCACCTATTCATCTCTCCACCTTCACCTTTTGGAGATTGTGTTTCAGCGAAATCTCAAATGTGCCAACAGGAAATGGAGTCACTGACTCAGAGGATACAAATTGTCTCTTCCCCATGAGTCAGGCCGAGCCTACACCCTTACACAATATTGGGGACCGTGCGTGGTGCGTGGGAGAGGCTGAGTACCATCACCGGAATGGGGATAGCACTAAATGTCTTGGGCCCTGGAGCACTACGAAGTGGTTACCCAACAGTCCATCAGAATGCCGGAAGTAGAAAAATGTTTGTCATTGCACTTGGTTTCTTTTCACCTTGCTTCCTAAGGGTCACACTGAGGGGCTCATCTAGAAGGAGGACAATGCAATGGATGCTGGGATTCAGTGAACAACCAACCAAGCCAAGTCAGCAACATTGTTTGCAAATCTCAGGGGGAAAATAATTCCTTTGGAAAGCAATCAAAACAAATAAAAATGATCCAAAAATATGATTAACTGAATGAAAGGTATATGCCTTATTTTCCCAATCAAATCTTTTAGAATATTAAGAACAGAACAGCAAACTCATGATGAATCATAGTATTTGCCTGGCCCAAACAGGTAGCAAAATCCGCTTCGTTTACACTTTTGCTGTGGTCACATGCCAGCCTACTCATGGACTGTTAGTTTCCTACCTTCTTCCACAGAAGTTTATAATTTTAGAATTTGTCTAGAACATAGTAGGCTTGTTAGGTCTTGTGCACTTTTAAAGAATGAACATGCCTTCACCATTTTGGGATGGCTTGCTATTTTAAATAGAATTTCACTATTAGACACGACCTTGCTTTATCTTGGATAAAATAACTATAAACTTGGTCAAATAATATAGTGAACAAATTTCAGTACTTTCTAGTAACAGCCTAATTTTCAGAGAAATATATATATATATATATATATATATATATATATATATATGTGTGTGTGTGTGTGTGTATAAATATATAAATGTATATATAATATATATGTGTGTGTATATATATGTATATATTTATATATACATATAAATGAGTAGAAATATAGAAATGTATGGAAGACTAACCTTTAAACTAACATTTATACATATAAATGTATGGAAAATTAACCTTGTCTTCTGCCAGCAATTATTCTATTTCTTTATTACAAACCTTAAAACTAAGCTTTATTTTAAAAAAATGTAAAAACTATAACTATTTGAGCTAAAGTAGCACAAAACCTGAGGCAATAAAATAACAACTTACAAATAAGTATTTCTTTAATTTTGAGCTTTAAAAGATAGCCATAAGATCTTCCTCAACAAGTGACAAGGGAAGATTTAATATGCCATGTCTTTCAATTTATATGCAGTGCATTATATTCTACAATTTTGACAGTAATTTCTAAATCACATTTCTAAGCGCTCATATTCATCCTACAATGTAGTACTTAACACTATTCAAATAAAAAATCCAGTGAGTCAAAATAAGGAAAAATCAACTACTTCGCCCTAAACATGGGTGGAAACATGCATATCTCATTCGTCATAGAAGTG